CGGGCTATCACAGTGGGCTAATTCTCCCACCCATGTAGCTGGCAATATCCTTGACCTAATCTTCTCTTATTCATGTACAGTATCTAATATCTGCAACACTCCATTTCCTCTCTCTGATCACCACCTCTTATCGTTTGCTCTTGTGTACCCCCTCACCCAACAACCTCAGCCTAACCCCCCCTCATCTCAGGAGGGACCTTAATTATCTCGATCTCCAGCAGCTGTCAGCTGATATTGATTCACAACTGCTATCCATCCCTTCCCTCTCCTGTCCTTCACTGGCCATCTCTGCATATAACACTACCCTCACCTCTGCCTTGAACACTGCAGCACCACTCCAAACAAGCACCTTAAGGAGGACCCGCCCCCAACCATGGCATTCTAAATCAACACACTACCTGCAAAGATTCTGAACGCTCCTGGAGGAAGTCTCGCACCCAGTCAGACTTTCTCCATTATAGATTCATATTGTGTTCATACAGCGCAGCCCTTGCCCTCGCCAAACAGGCCTTCTTTTCCTCTCTGATTAGTTCATGCTCCCGCAATCCCAGGTGTCTCTTTGACACCTTTAATTCTCTTCTTTGCCTGCTGTGGTCACCCCCCAAACCAACCTTACTGCTGATAGCTTTGCATGTTACTTTACCAACAAGATTGAACAGCTAAGGAAAGAATTCTCCCCTCCTTGCCGTTCTCTTTCTCAACCACACATAGATCATGCCTTTCCTACCCTTCAGATGTTCTCCCCGGCTACTGACCAAGAGGTGGCTGCTCTTCTCTTTTCCTTTCGCCCCACTACTTGGCCGCTCGATCATGTCCCATCTCACCTTATTAGATCTCTCTCTCTATTAGGTCTCGTGCCTTCCTTAACGCATATCTTCAACAACTCTCTCTCTCTTCTGGCATTGTCCCTGCTGACTTTAAACATGCCACTGTAGTACCTATCATGAAAATACCATCTCTTGACCCATCCTCCCCCTCTAACTATTGTCCTATATCCCTGCTCCCTTTTTCCTCAAAGCTTCTGAAAAGACTTGTCTTTACCCATGTGTCTCACTTCCCCAATTCCAACTCTCTCCTTGGCCCTCTTCAATCTGGCTTCCGCCCTCTCCACTCTACTGAGACTGCACTTATCAAAGTTACTAACAACCTAATCGCAGCTAAATCTAAAGGCCACTACTCCATATTAATTCTTCTTGACCTCTCTGCTGCCTTTGACACAGTTGATCATGCTCTCCTTCTTCAAACTCTTCAATCACTCGGTCTCTGTGACTTTGCCCTCTCATGGTTTTCCTCTTATCTTTCCCAACGCTCATTCAGTGTCTCCTTTTCTAATGATACCTCGTCCCCTCGTCCTGTCTTGGTTGGAGTCCCCCAAGGCTGTGTACTTGGTCCCCTTCTATTTTCTCTTTATACTGCCTCTCTTGGCAAACTTATTACCTCTTTTGGATTCCACTACCTCCTGTACACTGATGACACCCAGATATATCTCTCCTCCTCGGACCTCTCCCCTGCCGTCCTGCAACGTGTCACTGCTTGCCTTTCTTCCATCTCTGATTGGATGTCCTCCCGCTTTCTGAAACGCAATCTCTCTAAAACTGAGCTCCTTGTCTTTCCTCTTCCTAATACTGATCCTCCTCTTTCGCTCTCCCTTCAAATTTGTGGTGCCCCCATCAGTCCATCCTTGCAAGCGCGCTGTCTTGGCGTCATACTTGATTCTGGTCTCACCTTTGAGCTTCACATCCAATATGTTACCAAATCCTGTAGATTCCATCTTAAAAACATAGCCCGCATCCACCACTTTCTTACGCAAGATGCTACCAAGGAGCTTGTCCATGCTCTAGTAATTTCCTGCATGGATTATTGTAACCCTCTCCTGATTGACCTTCCCAAAAGCCGTACTGCACCGCTACAGTCCATAATGAACAATGCTGCCAGACTGATTTTCCTCTCTAGTCGGTTCTCTCACACCTGTATGCTATAGGAGTCAATTGAAGGTACTAATTCACACCTATAAAGCACTGAACAACTCTAGCACCTCTTATATCTCTTCACAGATCCATAAGTATGTCCCTTCTCTGTCTCTCCACTCTGCCTGTGACCACCTCCTGTCAGTTGTCCGCACCCCTACGGCCAACTCACGCTTGCAGGACTTCTCGCAGGCGGCTCCCTTCCTATGGAATAGTCTGCCTACCACCATTAGACTCTCCCCTAGTCTTGCATCTTTTAAGAAGTGCCTTAAAACCCATCTCTTTAGCTTATGGCCTCTCCTAAAGAGCAGCCCACCTTATTTGACTGCAAATTCCTGTCCTATTGTGTTTTACACCCCACCTCCTATAGAATGTAAGCTTGTTTGAGCAGAGTCCTCTCCAACCTATCGCTCATGTAAGTTTTTTGTAATTGTCCTATATATAGTTAAATCCCCCTCTCATAACATTGTAAAGCGCTATATAAATGGCAATGATAATGATGCCAAGAGGTCAGGGGAGTGAGGGCTGTCCACCCACTGACGTGAGTGACTGACCTCTCACAATCATCTAACTCTCACAGATAAACACAATGAAAACACAGACACATAACACTTTGAGAATTTACACAAGGACCACTCGTGCATATACAGCAATGCTCACACTTACATTGTACAGGCAGAAACACTACCCATACAGAAACATTGCACACAAATATAACCTATATCGTCCCCTCTGCCTTTGCTTTGTCCGCTCCTTTCCCAGGCAGGTGTCCACATCTCTGCCTAGACTGTGATCATCTACTGTCTTTACAAAAGCCCATGTGGCTCTCAGGCCTAGCTCTCTTTTTGACTTGTCCTGGGATACAGGGATAAAGCCAACAGGTCTAAAGGCTCTGTTACTGGGATCCCTGAATAAGTCAACCAGGACACACAGTTCCAAAAGGAACTATCATACTCTGCTTTTTTTTATTAGTTAGAACTAGCCCATATACTCATTACATCAAACTTATGGTGACAAACTCAGTCTAATACAATTAACCAAATCATATGGGGAAACATTCAGGAACCTATAATAACACAATAACATTTATAAAAGGGTAGGGAAGACAATAACTAACAAGAAATACCTCCCATGCCTGCAGAAACCATAACATGCAAATATATATATGAATATGCAAATTACAGAGTATTGCTATTCATGTACTGCACATACAGTTGCAACCAACATGTGACGCTACACATAACCGTTGCAATATATTCGCAACTCACAGATGCAAATATAATGTGCATTTGTACAAGAAGATACTACTTTACAACATATAGGTCGATAAGCAAGGACCGCCCTCTGACCAGAGTGAAACTCGCATTGCATCAAAGATGCATGGTACAGCTTTACTGTACACAGAAACCAAGTCTTGCATTCCTGTCGCATTCCTGCTGCACCGATGCAAATGCACGTTGTATGCCCATCATATCTAATGTGTTGTTAGCACTCAAATCTACTGCGCATTCAAATTTTGGAGACTTCATTTTGCCAATAAAGGTGCACATTAGATTCACGTTAAATACGGTAAATCCTAAGAAAAGAAATATGGATATTGGAAGTGGGTAAAGTGAACATCAAATGCTTAATCTGACACATGTGGATGGATGGATATATAGCTTTTAGGTGATAAGAGGACATGCCCATGCAGTTGTAGAAATGATAACATGTTTGGTAAAGAACTCACTTCCATCCATTATCCATCCATCCTTTGGAAGTAGAAGCTATTCTCATTGACTTTAATATCCTTGGGAATTGTTGCAACTGTTACTGAGCTGAGACATTGTAATCATGTGATACCTTGATGCATATTTGCCTAAGGAAAAATACTTACGTGGGGATGCCAACGGCTGGGTTAAGAATTAGGATATTACATAAATATAATGTGCACAAGATAGAATTTGTGCAATGCATTATGGTTTGAAAATGCAATGTGTGCGATTCTTTTTTTTTTTATTTATTTATTTTTTTTTTAAATCATAATTATTTATTATCTTAATGAATGCCTTTTACATAATAAAGAATACAAAATTTGGTGTTTCTTTATGGCTTCTTAAAAAAATTTGAGGGCAGTTGGATGTCCATATCAGACTTGTGATATGTATGATGTCCTCTTACAGTCAATATTTTTACACCTTTCTACTCAGTGTTTTGATGACGTATGCTAGGGATTTAAATTTTTTTTTTTATTTAAATGTTTTAATTTTTCAAATTGCATTGGAAAGAGGAGTACAGAAAAAAAATAGGGGGAAAACACGTCACATACATAGGGTGGGATCAAGGCATTGAGCACGTGTATCAAATATTGATCAATTGCTATTACTATCTCGGAGTGATACAAGGTAGTGAGGCGTGGGTCCGGGGATTCATCTCTGGTCCTGTATCACCTATATCACTTTACCAGTGCCATGCCTGCTGTCCTCTGAAACCTTTAGGAGGGTGTGTCATCCATCTGCCTGGTGAAGGATTACACTCCGGTCTACCTTAGTGAGTTTGTGTTCCGATATCTCTGTTCCCATAGACCTGCTCCATGGGGGTCAGACCTCAATAAGGGATATTTCAGCTGTGTTTCCCTGGTCTCTCACAACTCTCCACCTTCACACGGTGTCTTGAATGTGTGCAATGCTTATCTTGACGGCATTCCCCTGAAATTATGTATGCTACAAATTATCTAGAAGTTTTAGATTTCCTTTAAATTTATGGAAATGACATCCTATAACTGTATTTCAGTTAAGATTTTCAGATGACAGAAAGTGATAAATTTTATCGAAAACTATCTTGTGTTGTGTATCACAACCCCATTTTTAACAGAATCCAATATTCATTGTGCAGACTTTCCTTCTGTTTGGTATGAGAAGTATGTGTTAACATCAGTTGAGTGCAAATATAACCTCGCAAGGCAAATATAAATTGATCGGGGAGTGTAGGGAAGCAGCGCTTTACAGGTAAAATCCTTGTGTAGAATCCAGTTGAGCAAATATAAAAGAAAAGACACAATGGAACAGGAATACAAATATAGTGTAGTATGTCTAGAAGGAGTAGAGGCAAAACATAAATCTTTAGCTCCAGAAAAGTATGAGTGCAATACTTTTCTTTATTTTTTGCCTCTACTCCTTCTAGACATACTACACTATATTTGTATTCCTGTCCCATTTTGTAATTTGCTTTATATTTGCGCCATTGGATTGTATCTGTAAAACGCTTCCCTACACTCCCTGTTCTATTTGCATCTACAACCAGAAAGAAAAGACCCTGGTTTTGGAAGGTTTAGCTCCTGCACATACAAGGAACAAGCACCAGAAATCTCTTTGCTGCTAGTTATAAATTGATGCTTATATGACTGGTTTGGGTTAAATTAGGTCCTTACGTTGAATTACCATTTGTCATGAAAAAAGTTACAGTAATCATAAAATTCCTTCACTGAAGACTTAGATTTTTTTATTGAACCAAACATGACAATTGCTCACAGATGTTACTGCTCATAAGACTATAAAGATGCCTTTGTCCATTTGAGGGAAGAATAATTTTAGTTTTTAAGATCCAAGGGCAACATACTACTTTTTATATTTAACTAGAAAAACAGTGGGGAATGAGTTTTTCTTATATATTACGCAATCTGTCATGCAAAGAGTATTTAAACATTTCCACATCGCAAACCACTTCAAATGCTAATAAATGCTTAGAGGGAACATATACTTCCATTTTGCTGAGTCCATTCGTATATTTATAGAATGGTCACAGCCAAGGCACACACATTATATGCATCACAAATCAGCCTCGAGTGAGATCTTTAGACCAACTGTGGTAAGCTCAAAATGGTTTAACAGAATGACAGATTATCAAAAACAAATGTTGATCTCTTGGCACGATAAAGCAATCATGTCCCCCAAAATGCATGCCATAACTGCTATTTAAACAAATGGCTTGGTAGAAATGATAAATTTTTGATGCAGTTAGCACATAATAGATCATGTTCTATGTCCAGGACTAAAGTGTACTTGAATTTCACAAAGGTAATTCAAAAACTGTATCCTTCTTGGTAAATAATTTTTATAAATACAATCAGACTTCTTGTCTTCAATTATCTCCTGGAGAACACATACAGATATATTTTTTCACATGATACATATACAGTGTGTGACGTTACGGCCCTGGTGTGTCTGCTATGGAAGGTGCAGCAGTTCAGGCCTGTTATCGTCTGTGGGGTTCTTTCGCTAACCACTATACTAAGCTCTAAGACCTGGTACCTTGAGTCGTGTATCCATCGGCAATGCAGGATATACTGCACAGATCGCTGGAAGGTGCTCCAGTTCATATCCTGTCCTTTTGTGTTTTACACCCCACCTCATATAGATTGTAAGCTCGTTTAAACAGGGTCCACTTCAACCTATTGTTCCAATAAGTTTTCTTGTAATTGACCTATTTATAGTTAAATCTTACAATATTTCTAAAGTGCTACGGAATCTGTTGACGCTATATAAATGGCAATAATAAAATAATAATATAGGGCATTCTATCTATCTAGTCTACTTGCAATTCTCTGAGTAACTACTTTGTAGTGGATGACAAACAGTCATATAACTTAATGCTTCAAGAGAAGCTCAAGTGCCTTCTTGGTAAATCACGAACACCTTTATTCTGGTTTATAGACCGAATATATAGCAGTTATCCAAGTAACACATAAACAACAGTGACCAATCAGGGACATGAGAGGCCCAGGGAAAATCAAACCAATTATAACACAGTAAATCTCAAACAAACAGAGAGCCTACTTTAAAACAGGTAATCCAATTACAGGTACACCAGACAACAGGTAATGTTATTAAAAATATCAAATGCTAATTAACAAAAGACATCAGGTTCAGGTAACACCAGACAGAGGGGGAAACAATGAATTCAATTAACAGACGGTACAGACCCCTTTCTCTGTCTGCCTAATTGTGTACAGTGCATGAGCCTGCACTGTAGGGGGTAGATCATCAACCATTGTCCCTGACTCATTTACTCGGACACAATGTAATCTTCAAGAGTCTGCTTTACCTTTCAAATTATGTTTTGTACTTTATGCAATAGGGGAACATGGTTATTATATCTGGCAGCTTCGCAAAACGAAGAACAACATAAGGATGACAGACCAAAAACAGAACCACTGTTCTGTCACACAGTGTAATTTTAGCCGTATTATTACACATACAACAGAGATTTACAGTACATTTATAAATTAACAATTGGCGCAGCCACTCTTGACTTTCAAGACATTAAGATGCAGATGATTTCAGGAACTTTAGAGTTATTGCTGACTTGTTCTCTTTCAGGTTATTCCATGTATATAGCGCTCTATAGGAGAACATTTCATGACTGACTTACTTTATGAGGTAGGTGGGAAATAGAATGATAGACATCGGCATTGGAGATGGCAGGAGTGGTCATACTGCTCAGATGGCAAGGGAGTTTTGTTAATAGCCATCTATTTGTAATGTATAGCAGTGTTCCCAAAAGATGATGCTGAATGTGATCTTCATAAACTGTCAGTTTGGCAACCACTTGGCAAAAAGTAAACCCCACCATTTCTCAGAAATACTTTAAGGTGTAGCGGTTTTGATGCTTAATGTCTCTTTAATCACAATACTCTTGAGATCGCTGGTGTAAAGTACGTGTTAGTTGTGTTAATAATTTTGATACACTATAGTGTTACAGTGCTTATTTCTTCTTTATCTGGACTAGAAATCATTATATTTGTAATGTAAGATACTGTATAAGGCCCTTTTTTTTACTGCAACAAAAATGTAAAAAATACTCTTAACAAGTATTATGATGAGTGTGATCGCTTCAATATCAGTAATAGTTCTGTTAACATGTTGATAATTATCAAGCAACTGATTGGAATGTAACATTTTAACATTAATTTTATAATTATATTATAATTGAGCAGATTGGTTTCCATTATCATGTTAGCAGTTGCTCAGTTAATATTGTCAATTTCATTTGTACTTTTATCTCCAGAATCCCCTTTTTTGTTTGGTAATATTGTTGCTGTATATTAAATGACTTCTTGAATTGTGAGCCAAATTAGAACTTAAATACTAAATGGTGTGGATCCATGCCAAATTATAGCCCCACGTCTGCCCACGGTGATGACGACGAAGGCGTGCGTGTGATGTCACGTGGGAGACGCGCACGTGCACATTCTGGGGTCAATCAGATTTGTAAAGGACTTATTTAAATGCATTTTTACTTCTCCTCATTGCCCTTTCGTGGTTTCCCTTAGTGGTTGTCCGAGAGTGTGTCCCAGAGCGTTTATTTCCGGTTATTGACTTTGGCTTCGTTTTGACTTCCCTGACTTCTGGCTTTCCCTTATCGTTGTTTCCCATTCTGTTGTCCCCGACCTCCGCAAGTAATAATAATCAGCAAGATTATTCTTTGGTATGTTAAGTCTGGCCACTGTAAGGCCCAGTAAGACTTTACTTTTTAGTCCTAGGTGTGATACAGTTCTGCGTGCTAGATCAACTTGTAATCCTGACATAATCATGGGAACAGTTTAATAGAGATAAAATAATGTAGCTCCAAAACATTTTTTTAGTTAGGGTGATTAGTGTAGCGAAAGATATATGAATGTGTGACAGATTGAATAGGACTAATCTCAGAGCCAGTTTGAAGATTCACTGCAGAACACCATGTCACCACAACTATTTTATGATTATATGATACTTCTTGTCTGCTCAGAACATTAGAGAACATTACACATTTGTTTATATAATGACCAATGATCTAATGACATCAGCCCACACAGTAAGTATATCTCCTGCATTGACCCTACCTGGTCAGTGCAAAAATATCCCTGTCAGAAGCAAGCTAAAGCAGGTCACATAATAACATGTCCTTAGTTTACTTAGAGCACAATGTCAGATGATTAATTACCTTAATGACTATATTCCATGGATGTAATATGATATTTGGCTCTCAGGAGAGAAGAAAAAAGTTTGTTTAGAAAGTGAAGTGAATATTTTGTGTGTACATATACTATGTAATGTATGTTTTTTTTAAATGCAATTATGTCTAATGTTAAAGACATTGTAGATACCAAAACAACTTTTATGCATTTTTCAGATTTTGACCTACATTATTACTTGAATTGTTTGCATGTTGACGTTTGTAAAGTTGAATTCTGCATCACAATCCAACTATATTTCTCAGATATTCTATAATATTTTAAAAGGCACTCGTTATGCCGATCACTGCACAGGAAATGTGACTGCGCCATTCCCTACTAACCTGCGTGTTACAACAGCACCGTTGTGTCGGTCGAAAATAAGAACAGCAAGTTCAACTTATAGCTTTCATAAGCAGAGAGTTGATAACTGAAGGCTGTTGCAAAAGAGTATAGAAATTAGCTAGTCAGTCCCTCTGGCTTAATTTTCAGGCAAAGAGTCAGTTTGCTAGACTTTGTATGTGATTGAAACACAGACACAAGGTTTGTGTTTGTGTAAGTTTGTGATTGTGAGATGTGTAACATCTGTCCAGGGTCCATACCTGTGTGGTGGCTGTGATCGAGTGGCTTTTCTGGAAGGTCAGATTGGAGATCTGGAGAGGCAAATTACAACACTGAGGGAGATTGAGACAGTTGGTAAGCAGGCACATAACTGGGTAACAGTGGGGTGAGGAAGCAGGGGGGGTAGCTAGTCCTGATCTTGTGCAGCCTAACAGATTTGCCCGTTTGAGTGAAGATGTTGGAAGCATCAGCTCAGGAGCAGCTGTACTGCAGGAAGCTGTTCCTTCTAACAGCAGTGGGAACAGCCCCTCTAGTACGGATGGGGTTGAGAGGGTAAGGAAGGCTAGACAGGTTGTGGTGGTAGGGGACTCTATTATTAAGAGAGTAGATAGTGTAATCTGCCACTCTGATCGTCTCATCCGGACAGTTTGCTGTCTCCCGGGTGCTCGGGTCTGGCATGTTGCCGACAGAGTGGAGGGATTATTGGGAGGGGCTGGGGATGACCCAGCTGTCATGGTCCATATTGATACCAATGACAAAGTCAGAGGAAAATGGAAGGTCCTAAAGAATGAGTTCAGGGAACTAGGAAGTAAGCTTAAAAAAAGGACCTCCAAGGTAATATTTTCAGAAATATTACCTGTGCCGCGTGCTACAGCAGAAAGGCAGCGGG